TAACTCAAAATTGTTGGAATAATTTGAATAAAGGCTTGATTGCAACTACACGGCAGAAAAAATTGGTAGTACGATTCTTCTACTCAGAGGCAGGACATTTTGACAACTTTATGCCTACACAAACATACACACAAGTATACACACACTAATATTATTATTATTATTATTACAAAACTTTATTTGGGTAAAATATGTAGATATGTTTCAGTTACGTTCGATTCTGTTTGTGCGTGTGTATGCAAATATGTGTTTGTTTGTGTGTTTGTGTGCGTGTATGGGTCGCGCACACACGCATGCACACACACACACACGCATACACACACTCACACACAACATAACAGATGTAATCTAGGAGAAAGTATAAACATATTCGTTGGATTAATGCATTAACCTGTGCGTAGCAATTATATTATATGGTACCTTGATTTATTCATCCGATTCAACGTCATCATCTTCCATCGTCGTCGTCATCATCCTGATCATTATCAACACCATTCGCATTCGCACCAATATCATTTTAATCATCATCATTATCGTTATTAAGAATTATTAATCATATTTGTTCACGTGTTTGTCATCATCGTATCATCATGTTATTTTGACGAATGTATATTACAATCATCATGAAACGCAACATCATCGCATCACCGTCGTCGTCATCATTACTAATAATCATCATCGTCGTCGTCATCGTCGTCACCATCGTCGTCATCATCATCGTCGTCGTCATCATCATCGTCGTCTTCATCATCATCGTCATCATCACCACCAATCAACAGACACGTCGATCGATAGATATATTTGTCACCGCATACATCACCTGTGAATGATTAACGTTAATTGAATTAGTTATATAATAAATCAGTTTTATCCTTCATTCCTCTCTCTCTCTCTCTTTCTCTTTCTCTCTTTGATTTTTCATTTTCTCTTTTTCTCCTTCTCACTATTTCTCTCTTTTACTTTCTGTCTTTCTCACTGTATATTTAACTATTTATTTATAACGTTAAAGGTTTGTATAATGATATGATATTTGACAGGCGGACACGCTCCACATGCAAGTCAAAAAAATCAATTCCAATGAAATTATCAAACTTTTCTTGTCAGTCGGCCTGGAAACACCAAAACTGGACCAAACGTTTCACAATAAACACGCACACACACACACACACACACACACACACACACACATATATATATATATATATATATATATATATATATATATATATATATGTACACAACATCTGGTTTACAAGCATACACATGAGACATATAACACAAGCATAAATAACAAAAAAAATTTCTTTGTTTTTGTTTTCAATTCAATGGGTAGTGGATAATATTTCATCAACGGTGACTCCCAGACGTGTGTGTGTTTGTGTGTCTCTCTGTGCGTGTGTGTGTTTGTGTGTGTGTGGTTTGTATGTGTAATTGACAGGATAAGATGCAGAATTTATTTCGTTATCATTTGACCTATATATCCTATATATATATATATATATAATATATGTGTATGGATTGATATGAATGTGTATGGATATGAATGTGTATGGATGGATATGTGTGGACATGAGTGTGCGTGCATGAGTGAATTATGGATCTAACGTACTTGAGGGAGCATGAATATGCTTCGAACGGTAAACTTTTTACGGTAAACTTTCAAAATGAAAATGAATGTGTGTGATAGTTCTTTTACGGTAAACATTTTATAAAAATAGAATTTGTTTTGTAATAGACTTTCTACGATAAATTTTTCATAATGAGTTAATAACATCATGATTCTCGCATTTGCCTACGTAATGATCCTTTAACGATAAACTTTTTAAAATATGCCAAAATTGATATTTGAATTTGTTTCTGTAATGAACCTCTACTGTGAATTTTTCATGTCGATTCAATCTTTATTTATTTAATTGTCAATATTATGGGAGGCGAACATTATTTACTTTTGAAATGCAAATGTATAAATTTTTGTGACGTATGTTCGCGTGCACGAATTGCCATCATTTTTAATTTCTTCTTTTTCAATTAACTTTGTTGAATTTTTTGTTGAACTTGGTTGAAAGGACAACTTTAGTTAAGGCACTATCACAAGTATTATGCTTACTTTTTTGTGCTTCTTCCAATAAATAAATAAATATAATATATATACATGTATATAAAAATATCCTATATATATATATATATATCATATATATATATATATATATATATATATATATTTCGTTATCATTTGATCTATGTATATATATATATAGGATATTATTTATTTGTGCATTTCCTCTCTTGATGAATTATGGAGATTTGATTTACTGTCGCTATAATAATAATAATAATATTAATAATAACAATAATAAATAAAAACAATGATAATAATAATGATAATATAATGATAGCTACAATTTTAACGGCAAAAATGATCATGAATACTATTATTAAATCATATTCATATACATTTGGTATTTTTAACATAACACCAACGCAGCATACGTTTTTAATTGATGTGATATAGACAAGAGAAACCACACAACAGATACACACATCGATACGTACACTGACACACCGATATACACACATACACTCTCTCTCTCTCTCTCTCACACACACACACACACACACACACACACACACACACACAAAGATCTACACAACACAGAGATACGCACAAAGATATGCAATGCACACGGACACACACACATGTATTTTGGATGTAGGTGCAACAATGCTATAAAGTGATTTATTGATTAGGGAAATGGGACGGACATTAGAGAGAGAGAAAGAGAAAGTCAAGAGAGCTAGTAAAAGAAAGAAAAAATAGACAGATTAAGAAACAAAATGAAAATAGAGAAAAGATAGAATCAGACAGACAAAAAGAAAGAGAGAGGAAGGAAGGAAGAAAAAAGAGTAAGATCCAAAGTCTATTGAAAATGGGTAAAAAAGTTAAAAAAGAAAAGATGAAAAGAAGGAGAAAAAGTACAACGAAAGATAGAGAGACGGAGAGAAAAATGAGAATGAGGAGAGGTTGAGCTAGGGACAGACATAATGTTTACTATTTTATGATTGTGGCGCCTACAAGTTTATCTTCGGCTCATGTTCAATTGTTTTATTGCTTCATTCTTTTATATAAGATGTTCATGATGATAATTATGATGACGACGATGACGATGACGCTTATGATGACGATGATGTTAGTGACGATGATGATGACGACTACGATGATGAAGTTGACGACGACGATGATTATGTCTGTAATGATTTAGAAGTTGCGTGTGATTATGTTGATATAATAGAATGAAAATTGTTTCTGTTATCAAGATAATGGTAAAATTGTGACGACGATGACAAAAGTGGGGGTGATCATTTTTTATGGAAAAGGAGAAACATTTTTACGTAACAAAAACAAACGCTGTTACAACAACAACAACAACAATAACAACGACAACACAACAACAACGACAACACAAAATAGCACAACAACAACCATAACACTAATGTTCTTTAATTAATCCCAAACAACCTAATTAATTGCATTATTAAGTCAGCAGTATCCCGTCGTACAATATGTCTTCACTTCTATCTGTTATTAATACAACAATATAAATAATAATAAAAAAAAGCAATAATAATATAAAGATTAGAAGAAAGAAATTATTTTTATAATTTTAAATCATCTCATCAATTTTCTTCTGAAATTATTATTTTAACTTCTTAAGAGGCAAATCGAAATAAATGGTAACGGTTATTTTCTTTTATTGACAAAGTTATCAGTGCCACACACACACACATACACACACACGTACAGAAACATCATTATCAGTATACGAAGTTACAAGTCAGACAGAAAGCTCGGTGGTAACCAAGTTAAACGAAGGAATGGACGATCACATCATAAATCATTCCTTTCAATTATAAGTTTGTTCGTTTATTCATTCTTTCATTCAGTCAGTCATTCAATCAGTCAGTCATTTATATTTGAACGTAATTAAAAATTATTCAAAGGTTTTATATTACAATTTGCAGACAAAGCTGATTGTTAATTGAATGGACTTGTTATCAACAATTTGAGCGTAAATCATACTCAGTATTCATTTATTTCGAGAATGAAGTTTTAATCAGGGGGAAGGAAATTAAATGAATCACTCAACTCAACCTCTCCATTGAGAACAATGGCATGACGGCTAACAGGAACAAACAAGTTAGAGGTTCATATTGGTGATCAATATTCATCAATCCTTCTAAAAACGATTCGATCCAAGAAACAAACGATGGATCCATAATAACTTAAAAATAAGAATATTCGTAAAGTTATCACCTAAATTTAGGATGGTGCTGTGTTTTGCACTAGTTTAAAAATCCAACAACATTCAATACAACAGTATTTTTATCCAAGCAACCCTGGTGAATACCACACAATTTCATAGTTGTTGAAGAAAAAAGCTATTCTTTCCGGACTTTGTGATTCGAAGTTAGTTAACTCAGTCAAGAAAATGACGACAATTGAAAGAAATATATATATGTATATCATAATATATCAAATTAAATTTATTAGTAATATATTAAATTACATTTATATTGTTTCGTTAAATAACCAAAGAGTTACAAAAAGCATTAATTTCAAGTAGGTCAATCAATCATCCATCAAGGTTTCAATGAGCATAAAAGGCTAGCAAAACAAGAAACTGTTCAGATGTAAATGATAAAATCATATAAAAACATTATGACGAATTTTACGCGTACGCAATTTCATCCAATATTTTAGTGTTAAGGTTAATAAAACGCAACACTTTATATAAACGCAAATTTACTAATTAATGCAACATACAGCGACATAAATATACATACCTGAACGAAATAAGAAACAACAAAATGAAGAATGAATAAGTTAATGAAACAAACTGAGAAACGAAATGAATATGTAAATCATGAAGAAATTAATATTACATCACAATATAGGTTGAATGAAATTCATTAATGATGATGATGAGATATGCAAGTCCAAGTTAAATTCCTTTTTGTAGGATAGTCGATAATAAGGTCTTGTCCTGAATCACTGACTCCAGCTCCTGCTCGTTCACTCTGAGTGACAGCTGTTTGTCAGAAACAAGATAATCATTATTCATTAATTATTAAAACTAAATTCATTTTTAATTAAAGGCTAATTTATTAGCAGATAGAAAAACAATGTCTAGTAACCAATGTATAATTATAACTATAATTTTTCATGTAAAATTTCATGTCCCCAATGAAAATTCTTTTTTTTTTGTTACAACAGCTTAAAAATTAACCACTGAATACATATTTACACAAGTAAGAAGAAATGAACAAAAGTGTTTACCTTATGAAGTCTGACTTGTTTGTTCTTTTTGATGGTCATCATGCCTTGGTCTTCAATGGAGAGGCAGTGACTCAACAGTTCTCCCTGATCAACCCTTCCAAACCCATTCTTCAGGCAAACCTTGTTCAAATTCTCATGAAGCTGTACAAATAGAAAAGAGAGTTGTAATAATTAAAAAAAAACTGTTGTAGAAAAAGTTACAATATTATTTCAACAATATTGATCTGTTCTTGCTTGCTGTTTACAAAATTGAAACATTAATTAAAATAAAAAATTTTCATAAAATTGATGAATTAGAAGAAAATAATGATCGAAGGATCAAACCTTTCCAAGGGTGATTTCCTTGCTACCCTTTGCAAGTTTGCCCATCAGCAGCATGGTGCACATGACCAACATCTGCTGCAGTGGAATTATCATCGGTGCGTCTGTCTTGAGAGCTACTTTCTGGATGAAGACCTCATTTATGACTTTCAAAATTACTGGCACTGTTACTTTCTTGACACCAGTATTTAGTGCTGCTGATTCATTGAGTTTGGACTTTTTGACCTCCATCTCAACAATCTCAACAGCCCTGGTGCATATGTTCAAAGCCATTCTTAAATCCCCTGCCATTGAAGAAACCTTGCGAGAGCAAAAGTTAACTGCTGGTGCATCAAGAATCTGTTCCCCCTCGACCTGATGGCAATCAAAACCATATCAGTATATTTAGTGATGTTAAATAAAACTGAAACAAGTTATGCAATTTATCTGAAAGTTAAAGCAGAAATAACAATTTAAATGGGTGTTTTGATAGGCAAGAATTAATAAGCTCACGAAACAAACCTTAGATAATCTATTGAGGATGATTTGAGAAATTTCATCTTTCGAGTATGGAGTGAAATTCATGAGTTGAGGTTTGCAGCTTTCATCTGATTGAAGTCGTGGCAGAATTCTGTCAGTGAGGTCAAGAGAGTTGGCAATCCCAACTAGGATCAGTTTAGAATTCTTGAGTGATGGCCACCCAAAAATTGTGTACAATACTTCCTGATTGCGAGAATCTAACGAATCTATTTCATCAAGGACTAGAATTCTGTAAAATTTTAAATAATATTAACATTTTTAATAATTAATACTGCATGAAAACATGAAAAGGTTAGAGGCTCTGGAGCAACTGCCTTCCCGCGGTGGAGCCGATTGGACCGTCAAATCAGTCGATCCAACAAACAGTTGCAACAAACCCTCCTCACCTGGATGAAAAGATTAGGTCATCAAAAAGAAAAATTACAAACATAGATTGCTGGTTTGAGGTGATGAAATCTTCGATGTCTGCAACTGCATCCTTGGCACTGTTTGCACTTTTCTTTGCAGATGTTGGTGACAACAACATCCATATGTTACTATATATTGCCTGACTATTCCTCAGACTCATGCAGTTTATGAAGACTTTTGGACTAGATGTCTGGACGAATGAAATTATAAATATTAAATGTTATTATGAATTCAATAAACATAATATTATGAAAATGTTCCATTAACAAATTTGTATTACATAATGAATATCATGAATCCTATTACTAACTGGTATACTCTTGAGGGCAAAATTTAACACAGCAGTTTTTCCTGTCCCTGGTGCTCCTGAAATGTACATACTGCCAGGTTTTGATTGGTCTATATGATCAGCGATATAATTTTTCACTAATTTAAACTCAGCGTCTCTGCAAACAAGAAAATCAGGTAGTGATGTTGTCAGAGCTTGCTTTGTTGAACTGTAAACATTCTGTGTCGTTGCCTGTTGGGTCTGGGCTTCCTCTGGTAGTGTAGTACAACAAAATTAAATTAAAATACAAATCATGCATTTAATTTAAATTTAACTTGAATTTATCTTTTTTTTTAATTTTTTATTGTGATCATTTCATTTTTTAAACTATCTATTTCAAATTAAGAAGACAAATTATCCAAATTATAATATTAATTGCTCAATGCAGCAAATACAAACTTTCAACTCTCTTCAGTTTAACAGGCGAGCTCGGCGAATTCTCCTTATCGTCTGCAGCATCAAGATGATCAGCAACGTGAAGTTTCACACTTTTCGTTCTTCGCCTATTTGACTTTTTTACTGGAAAGTTGATCGTGGACTGAACAGAAGCCATTTCCAAATTCAAAACTATCAGATGGAATTTATTTTTCAGATCCTAAAAATTTTTCATTTGAAATAATTCATCAGATGATTTTAAAATTTAAAATACCCGCAACTTATTTATATTAAATATACACACCTCGTAAATTTAGCCCTTACAAGGTAAACAAAGCCCTTTAATATTTCGCGCTAAGCGCCAATATAATGTTGAAGTTGTAAATATTATTTCCAACAAATTATTTTTAATAACTGCGGTAATTTGTTTAAAATAATTTATATGGTTGTAATTTGTTTTAATTGATATATACGATTGTAGTGTCGTAAATTAATTAATATTTTATTACAATTTTTTTGTCATTTTTTTACAAGTGTTGTTAGTTTAGTAACGTATGAAAATTATAGTATTACAATATCCATGGTACTTTTGCTGTTAATTTTTGTTGCATTCTAATTATATGGTTGCATTGTTGTTTTTTCTGTTCTTTGCGTTCTATTATTTTATGTATCATGAAATTTTTATATCCGTTATTAGCGAGTAATTTATTTTCTTCTCTTGCGTATAAGTTCGGTTTACAAAAACATAGATCATATTCTCTAGATATGTTTGACAACATTCACTATTTCATCAAAATTAAAGTTTACGATTGAAAAAAGACAACCGACGATATACTACTATTCCTAGACGTACTACTACAAAATACTCATAATGAATTTAAAACCTCAATATACACCAAAGCAACAAACAAAGGTTTATGTCTTATTGGAAATAGTGAATGTTTGTCATCAAAAGACTTCAGTATCCATACGTATAAATTTATGATGGAAAAAGTAAATGAATAAAAAACGACGGAATAAATGAATTGGCCAAAAAATGAGTAGTTGGTTGATTTGTATATTTTAGTCCGCTCCATGGTATTTCCATATATATATATATATATATATATATATATATATATATATATATATATATATATATACCACCTGAATACATGCATATGGTCTTATCCAGTTGCATTCTTCCCATTCTTCTTCTTCTTCTTATGCTTCATCCTTTTAGGACATTGGCGACCACCAACCAATTCAAACTCGATCTTTAACACTTTGTAGTAGTTGAAATGTGGTGATATTCAACAAGTGACACAAGGAGTTCGCGAATGTTATCCGTTGTTGACCGCGATCTCCTTTCCCTGCTCTTTTATTATTTAAATGTTATGAACTGGATAAACATTGGCATTGCACACCTATTATAATCGCTGCATGGGCCCGCGATAAAACGATTTTTATTAAAAAAAACTTTGCCAAGAAAAATGAACGGTTGTCTGGGCGTATGATAGCCATGGTAGCGAGTTTAATTATCAATCGAAAAACGCTTTCACTAATGGTTGAAAGATTTTTAATCGATTTTTAAAGTCTTTTTCGATATTTTGTTAAAAAACTGAAAACAAATTGCAGATGGACTGTAAATCGGAGCATATAAAGTGCATGATATCTTAAGATGATAATATCCTCAGTATTTCAAAAACAATATGGTGAGTTAATGACGCATTTAAATGGTGCCAGGTTCAAGTCATAGCTTAATTTAATAATAGCAACCGATTCGCATATTCGCTTAAGTACTCGATAGACAAATAAATTTAAATGTTGACAAGTAACTCGCCAATGCCTACTTAACCGATTACTTTAATTTTTAATGTATCTATGTTGTGTGCCACGGTCGCCGGAATTATTAATTCACACCTTGAAAATTAAATATAAATTTAATTTTATGTTTAGTTTCACTTATTTATTATTCTGAAAAGTTTAATTGCTGGTTGGCTTTAAATAAAAATTATTGCTCCGTAAACAACTGCAAGAAGGTGGTGCCATCTTGCTTTGGGAAAAACAACAAAGGTGTTTCTCAGCATTAATTAATCTATTTTATTTTATCTGACAGACATCACTCAAGCGGTTGAAATTCATCCATTTTATGTTTTCTGCTCTGAGATTTTAAGGTTTACAGTATTGATAGTTAATATTAAATCGCTTTTATTATTTTCACCACCATCTGCTTATCTATTATTTTTTTACTTTTTATTACTTTATTAATTATTTTACTCACTGTCAGGTTTAGGTAAGCAAGCCAGACGCCGACAGTTTTGCCATGCCTACACCAAAACGATTGCGTGATTTGATAAGAGAAATCAGATCTGCACGTACAGCTGCTGATGAAAGGGCAGTTGTCCAAAGGGAGTGTGCTCAAATTAGAGACACATTTCGTGAAGAGGATAACACATACAGATGTCGAAATGTTGCAAAATTGTTATACATACACATGCTAGGGTATCCTGCTCATTTTGGACAGGTTGGCATTATTACTTTGCATGTAGTAACATGTGTATTAAAACAACAAGTTCCATTGATGAAGTTATTTACTGAATTTATTCTTTTCAGTTGGAATGTCTGAAATTGATTGCATCTCCCCGGTTTACTGACAAACGAATAGGTTACTTGGGGGCTATGCTGTTACTAGATGAACGACAAGATATTCATTTGCTTGTCACTAATTCACTCAAAAAGTTAGTTTTCAATATGTTTTGAAATATTTTGACAAGGTGAGTTGATTTTTTTATTCATAAGTTATTATAGTTGTTTAGCCTTTTTCTCTTTTTATTCACTTGATTTTGTTGATTTAGAAAATAATTTTATTTGGATTTTTTAAAATCTTCCATTCTTTTATATTAATTAAAACTGTCAACTCATTCATACTTACATATTTCAAATTACTATATTTTGTGATTTTTAAAAAATCAAATTTACAAGTGCAAGACCTGTCACAACATTTTTTTAATTTCAAGAAAGAATGGGAGAATCATGGTGCAAAAGAAATTAGTTATGAATTTGCATAATTTAATGATAAAAATTAGACAAAAATGATGGTGCAAAATGGTACTGCATTAGATGTTAAATTTTACTGACAAAATAATTATTTGACTTATTTGATGGGTTACCAAAAGTATTACCCGGTTGTTGAGCTGTAGGCTGAGCTGAAAGTGTTGGTTTGAAGTAGGAATGAATGAATGTCTTGTGTTGGAAAATGGTTGTGCTTGCATTTTGTTTTTTCTAGTTAGTGAACTTAATTCATCTTTTTAATATTTAGTTTTCTTGTCTAATGCAGTACAAATTTAATTTATTACTTTTTGGTAATTGATATTAACATTAATGAGATGATACGTACCTGTCTGCATGTTAATGAGCATCAATGTATTTAGGTAGGTTTGCACTGGTGGTTCAGCTTTGTTGAATATTGTGATCAATATCAAATTTTCATAACCTAAAGCTTTCTTATAGTTAATTACAATTTATAAATATATTTTATTCAAATTTGAAGTATTCACATTTTTGCCTTAAAACATTTTGATTATGATAGACATTTTGATTATGAATAAAGTTCTTGAAAAATTACTTCTGATAAATTACTTCTTTGATTACATGAATAAAAGCCTTGAAAATTATCGTTTTTTATCAATGTTTTTTGATAATATACTAAAAGTATGTCTTCTCCCTTTGCCAGCGATTTGAATCATCAGACACAGTACGTGGTAAGTTTGGCACTATGCACATTGGGAGCCATTTGTTCAGCCGAGATGAGCAGGGATTTGGCAGGTGAGGTGGAGAAGTTAATCAAATCTTCCAATGCCTACATTAAAAAGAAGGTTTTTATCTGGCTCTTGATTTTTTTTTTTTCAATAAAAATAGTATTTTGGTACCGTTTATTTGCTAGTTAAGTTTTTGTTTATATGTTATTTATACTTGTATTAATAAGGATAATATAATTTTGTATTTCTTTTCTAGAATCTTTTTCATTTAAAATTTGAATGCATGGATCAATATTTCAATGATTTTCTTTCTTTATTTTCCCAAACCTCAATTTTTTCTATTTGATTTATTGAAATTACTTTTCGGTCGCAATTATGTCTAAGTGTAAATAACGATGCTAGCATGTTACAAACTTAGGCTGCTCTGTGTGCTGTGAGAATTTTAAGGAAGGTGCCTGATCTTATGGAGATGTTCATACCAGCCACTCGGCTACTTCTCAATGAGAAGAATCATGGTCTGTTGGTGGGTTGGTCGGTTGGTTGGTCGGTTGGTTGGTCGGTTGGTTGGTCGGTTGGTTGGTAGATTTGGTTACTGGCATGTTTGTTTTCATGGTTGTGTTGATTGATTGGTTTGTTGTTTTTTTTAGTAAATTGAATGATTGATAGATTGGTTATTTGATTGGTTGTCTGATTAGCTTATTGACTGGCAAGGTGAATTTTGTGTGAAGTTTATTGGTCTTTTCTTTGATTTATCAGCTGATTGATAATAAGGTTGATAAAAAGATGCTTTATTTTCCTGATTTTTTTTAATTTTTTAACTTTAATCCTTGATTGCCAACAGTTATAATTATAAAAAATGGCCACCATTGTTTTATTCTCTCTTCCGACCAGGGGTATTACTAACAGCCATATGTCTGATGATCGAGATGTGTGAGAAAAGTCCTGACATGTTGGATCATTTCAGGAAGGTGGCTGACCATTTCATTGATTGATTGAATGAATGAATGAATGAATGATTAATTGATTGAAAGTGTTTTACACGAATAGTTTTTTTTACTAATTTATTTATTAAAAAATTGGTATTAATACAGTTAGTACGTTACTTGAATAGTTGTTTTTAAATGAATAATTTCAATTTTTTATTACAATTTCAACAAATTTTCGGTTTAATAAACACATATAATTAAACAGTGATAGAGCAGTTTTAAATTGTATACTATCTGTATATATTTAAATAACTCATGCATTAAATAACCAAACAAAAAAAACCAACCAACCAGATGGTACCACAGTTGGTCCGCATCTTGAAGAACTTAATCATGGCCGGTTACTCACCTGAACATGACGTATCTGGCATCAGTGATCCATTCCTACAGGTCATTGTTGTTATCATCTTTATCATCATCCTTCTTTTCATCATAATTTTAGTCATTATTGCCATCTTAGTTGTCATCTTTACCATTTTTATTATCATCATCCCTTTGTCATCACTAATTTTATTATATCACTAAATGGAATTAATTAGAATTTGTTTAAGTCTTATCATCATAATGGTTATTATACTTATTCGACAGAGGTGAAACAATTATATCTGTATATAACTATCCAGGTAAAGATATTGTGTTTGCTGAGAATTCTGGGACGCAATGATCCAGATAGTAGTGAAGCCATGAATGATATATTAGCTCAGGTGGGTAATTATTTAATTAATTTTCAATTCAGCAGAATATCTTTTTCAATGTACTCCCGTTTATGTTTCATTTAATTTTAAAATTATTTACTATTAGACAAATTATTTGAACGTAATGTTCTCTCCTAATTTTTTTTAATGGTTACTATAATACAAAATGTATTTGGGCAAAAAACATTATAATATAATATATAATGTGAAAATTTTATTCTTAGATGATTTTATTTAATTTCTCAGCTAGCTAGTGTATTTAAAGTTTTTTTTTCATAGACAAGTCAGCTGCATCAGATCAGATTTATGTTTATAATTTGTATTTATGAGAATTTCATAATTTTTAGGTGGCTACGAACACAGAGACGAGCAAGAATGTTGGCAATGCTATCCTGTACGAGACATGCCTAACCATCATGAACATCAACTCGGAAACAGGCTTGAGAGTAAGTAGTACTGTACTGTAAGATGTGTTGCTGTTCTGTTGTGCTTTTCTTTGTTGGAGTGTTTTGTTCTGCAATGACGATGACATATTTTTATCAATTTACATCTCAATGAAATTCTTCTAAGTAAAATGTTAATACTGAATACTGAGTAAGAATACGTGGAAAAATACTAATTATTCTCATTAATTTGTGTATGAAATGTTGAATCAAGTTGATTTATCATGAATTCACATTGAAACATGGATATTATAAATATCATTATAATGTTAATTTGACTGGTAAGTCGATTTTCTGACATGTATAACTGTTGAATGAAATAGACTAATTTATTAGTTACTTATTTAAATATAATTTTATGGATAATGCTGGTTAAAAAAAATAATTTTGTAATGATGTAGGTTCTTGCCGTCAACATATTAGGAAGATTCCTATTAAACAGCGATAAGAATATTAGGTAGACTGTTATTTCTTTTTCCATCCAACATCTGTTAATCCCATTGTTTTTATTTAATCAGGCAACATTGTTTGAATACATTTAATCACAATACTGCAATACATATGTCACACAATTTTATCATTTTCTGTGTGAAAGATGGTTTTAGAAGACTGTAGCAAACCGTATTTATGTAATAATAAAATTCAAATATTATTTATCAAGTTAGATTTTTGTTAAAAATTGTCATTGGTTTAAAATCTCCTCCTAAAATATTTTATCCACTTTACTGTTTTTTGTGATATTTATTCAAGTAAGTAAGCGAATGTTGTTAATGTAGGTATGTGGCCTTGAACACCTTACTAAGAGTTGTACACGCAGATTACAACGCTGTACAGAGGCACAGGAGTACCATTGTTGACTGCCTCAAAGATCCTGACATCTCTATAAAGAGGTTCATACTTTTCTGTTCATTTTACGCATTAATTCATAACAACACAAACACACACACACACACACGAATTTGTTAACTTAATTATATATGTAATTAATAATATAATTAAAACTTTCATTTTGCATTAGTTTTGTGAGGCTTTATGACCACCATGTATGTGCATAAAACTCTATTACAGAACGTATAAACATTGAATTACATAAAATAATCTCTGTGATCCAACATGTTGTTGTGCTATTAACAACTGTAAATGGAAAATATAATCATATTTATCATATTTATAATCATAATTATATCACAACAGGAGAGCCATGGAGTTGGGCTTTGCACTTGTTAATGGCAACAACATCAGAGGGATGGTCAAAGAATTATTTGCATTCCTTGAAACTTGTGACCCGGAATTTAAAGCTGATTGTTCATCTAGTATTCTATTGGCTGCTGAAAAGTCGGTGAAAGTTATAGGATGTTGGATAATATTTCATTTAATTAATTTTAATAATTTTAATGTTGTAATATTGAAATAAAATAGTGTAACAATGGGTAGTATTGTTTTAACAATGTAGCTTGTAATGGTAACTCAGTCCCATGAAAAAAAAACAGTACATTGCATAATTTTGAATCAGGTATGCCCCGAACAAGAGATGGCACATTGACACTGTTATGAAGGTCCTCACAACAGTTAGTGCTGGTACTTTATAAATTTATCATGAGATGATATGATTGGGAGTCTAATGGAGTTATCATTAAAATTGAAGCTGCTATGCAATCAGTTTGGTATAAATACAATTTAGTGTACACTGTATTCAATAATTTACTATGATAGAGATTGTCGCTATAGTATGAAATGAAGTTGGTAGATGATGTGATGATATAAATAGAATATGTATTACCTAAAATATATGATAGATAGTTTGAAAAGAATGTTGTGATTCTTCTGCTAGCTTTCTTTAGAATTCTCATTCAAACACGTTTTGCACTTAAAATTTGTTTGAGAATAGAGCTGATGAAACTTATGTGAAGCAGCCTCATTGGCTGCTACTAACTTTAAATTATAAATTTACCTATCTATAATTATTTATCATTGATAATATAACTTGTTGAATAGTAGATATAACACACACGTGTTGAAATGTTAGTATAAGAATTGTATGCGCAACATTAGGCAGGTAATTATGTTCGAGATGACATGGTCTCCTGTCTGATACAACTGATTCAAGAAACAAATGTCCTACACGTCTACACCACACATCAACTCTGTAAGGTCTGTCTGTTGGTGTTTTCTTGCTGTATTGCTATACTGCTGGTGTGTTGTTATACTTTTGATGTGTGGTTTTTATACTGTCTATGTGTTTCATTGTTTAATATTGTTCTTTCATTATTTTGCTTTCATCAATTTGCTTCTGGTTTTTAAGTATGTTTTGAATTTGTATTTTAAAAAGTTATTATGTATCTATATATACATTTACATACAATGTGTGTTGGTATGTTTCATTGCTGTCTGTTTTAAACCATTGCTCTTATTTATTCTGTGTTCATTCACCACACTGTTTCCATGCTATTTGATATTACTCCTCTTTTAATTTCTCTTCAACATTTTTAAAGTAATCATCTATATACTAGCAAATGTTTCTCAGTGTGAAGCAAATTGTTGAAAAGAGAAAGCTGAAATATTAGCACCTACTCATAGATTAACATCATCTTATTTATAATCCTCCACCTGTTCGCTTGTTATATGTTCTGCATGTTATATATTAGTTCCTTAAGTTTCGCAATTTCTCCGCCCATGATTACTCTGTTAAACACTGAACAATGCATAGGCTCTGATGGCTGACATATCCCAACAACCCCTGGCACAAGTAGCATCTTGGTGCATTGGAGAGTATGGTAATCTTTTATTTGTTCCCACCGGATCTGGAGGGAAAGATGAGGATGACGATGAACTTGTGGAGGTTGGGTCTATTTGTAGTTTTATGTATTGAAATTATTTTAGTTGGGTACTATTTTATCCCATATTTTAACAACCTGCTGTTGAACAGTAGTTTGTTTAAATAAGTGTATAGGAAACTTAACAAGTGTAATAATAACAACTAGTAATCTCTTCTCATGTACAAACAGACAACAGAGGAAGAAGTGTTGGAACTGTTAGAACGAGTCCTTGTGAACAACAATTCAACATCAACAACAAAGCAATACGTCCTCACAGCTATTGTTAAACTGAGCACTAGATTCACACATACACTAGAGTTCGTATTGAAAGTTAATTCTACAAAAATCATTCAGTTATCTCTGCTTTGTTTTATTAATATTTTTCCATTTTCAATGTTCTATTTGTTTTCTAATTGTTCTTTTTCTTTTAATTTTTCTGTAATCTTCATGCTTTCAACCATAATCAACCGACCACATGGCCACTGCAGTCAGATACGTCGACTGATTAGCATATTTGCAGCCAGTATGAATATCGAACTACAGCAGAGATCCACCGAGTACTCGACTCTCTTCAGGACCAGTGATAGTATAAGGTTCGTTTCGTATATCTCCCCCTTCTTCCTCTGATTTGGTGATGAGTGTTTTTATCTTGCTAATGAAAATAATGCTGATGTGGCTGGTTATAACGACGTAATCTTTTTATCATCATCATTTATAGTGATAGTGTATCTATGATATGCATAATGATTGAAATATAACTTATATCTTTCATTTTTATTCTACATGAAAAAAATCTTCACACCACAACCAATGATAGGATAGGTCTGTTGGAACAGATGCCCATATTGGACAAGAGTGGTTCCACACTGGCCAATGGAGACACACCTACCATTTCAAATGATGGCATGGAGGATGTGTATAACAAAAAGAACACACAGTCAGAGGTTTGTTTGTTTGTTTGTGTGGGTGATGTTGTTGACATTTTCTCTATTGTTGTTATGATAGGTAGTATTTAGTGTTGTAATTGAATTATTTTTTCTTCTGTGCTTTCATTAAGGTTTTAATGTTTAAAGTTTGTTGATAAAACTATCCACTTTTATAAACTATTATAAATAAACTAGATTATAAACATATTGATTTCAGTTAACACTGGTTGATGTCTAAAGTTAAATTTTAATCGAATACTCCTCAGTGTCAAAACATATTAGATGTATTCGGAAACGACTCGCCAACAACGACAGGCAGCACATCACTGACTGCCAATCAACTCAGCAACAAATCTGCACAGAATGATTTGCTGGACCTCATCTTCGACATCAATGCTGGCAATGCTAACAAACCAGGTATATGTTGATACTACAAAATTATTTTTTTCGTTCTTATTTAAGTTTTCTCTTTAAATATATTTTGGTTATTTTAATTATTTTCATTGAATTAGTCGATTAATTAATTATTATTATTTTTAATTATTGTTTTTTCTTAGTTAATTGTTTTTATTATTTACTTATCTGCCTACATTTTCAAATCATATTTTCGCAAATTTTTCAAAATGATTAATCAACATTGAAAGTCATTTGATCCATATACATCCCATTCATTTATTTTCAAAGTAAGATAAATGACTTAATGACTGAATTCAATACCATTTTTTTTCGTAAGCACACCAGCCAGTCATGCCTAACAACAACAACGCGAGTTTAATTGATGGTTTGATTGGTGGCCCTCAGTCTAATTTCATCCAATCAAATTCAAGTAATGCACCACTTGATGATCTCCTGTGTGGAGATATTTTTGGAGGGAACTTATCAAATGGAGGTACTTTGCAGTCTAGTCTAAATAGTGATGAGTATATAATTATATTATCCACAGTTATTTAAAACTGGTTGACGATGAGTTTATACCATTTCAAAGTACTTTTTATAATAACTGCCCTTCCCTGTGATGATATTTTCTAAACTTTAGCCAGCACTTTTTTTTTATAAATTTTTCAGATTTCTTTTTTAAAAGTTTGTTTACTTCTCCTAAAGCCCCTTTCTTCTCTGCATAAATATTTCTTATGTTTAAGCATTAGTTTTAAGGTTTATGTTGTTGTTTCACGCTACCATTCCTATCCAATTGTTCATTTTATTATGGTAAGATTTGTGCTAAGTACCAAATTCAGATAAGACATTCAGAAATGTCAGAAATTTTTATTTGGTGATTTGTATAATTTGTCAGCGCTTGGCTATCTTCATTGATAAAATGTCGCTATTTTAAATCATTCCTTGAATGAAGTATTCTTACAACTGATTCTCTCCACATAGGCATGTCTATTTCACCTGGATTTGTAGCATTCGAGAAGAATGGCATAAAAATCACCTTCCAGTGTCAGAGAGTTGATGACGTCACCGTCAACATCACCATGACGACTGTTAACTCATCCTCGCAACAGTTCAATGATTTCGTTTTCCAGGCTGCTGTACCGAAAGTAAGTACTTATCGTATCTTCTTTAAATAATCAAGCCATCATTGCAGTTGAGTGAGCAATAAAAAACTGAAAAATTAGTGCTTTTATTCATAACTCCATCGCGTTTTATTTTGTACAGAATGTGAAAAATATATAAATAAAACATAGTTATGACATCATTATTATACCGTTATGTTACTAATACAGCATCCTTGTAACATTAATATACAATCGTTATAACATTTATGCAACAGACATTCCAGTTGCAATTGTTGTCTCCATCCTCAAACGTTCTCCTCCCAAACAACGCAGGATCCATCAACCAGATCATCAAAGTCACCAATCCTAATAAGGTATGTTGCATCTCCACGCATTTGCTCTTTCTTCTGCGTGTGTTTGGCTGGGTTTTTTTTATCTGTAAATAGTTATTCAGCATTTTTTGTATCAAAAATAATTTGTTTTGTCCATTCTACCTAGCAACCGATTCGAATGCGAATAAAAGTGAACTACAGCATCAATGGACAGTCCTACACTGAGCCTGGTGAGGTCAACAACTTTCCAAGTTGCCTCTGGCAGTGATCATCATTTTAGTGTAATATGGCAAATAATATCTAAATGAGTACATGTGTGTGTGTCTGTGTGTGTGTCTGTGTCTGTGTGCTGCGTGTGTGTGTACCGTAATTATTACCATTCAATTGTACCGTGTTACGTATGAGAATGTTGTTTTAATTATTATCACTCCTTGTACACGTACGTACATATTCTTATTCTTAATTTATTTAATAATTTATTTCGCGTATAAGGAAAACTACTTGTACAAATTACGTTTATTTAGATTATTATTCCTGTTATTATTTATTGTTATTAATATTATTGTTGTTAAAATTACTTATTATTATTGTTATTTGTTCTTGTTTCACTATAAAATGTATTGTCTGATTGTATGCATTCGTAATGGGATATGATGAAATATTTTTTTGTAATATCTTAAAATTGTGGTGATAATGAAAGTTTATCCATTTAATTTAAGGTATCCATTATTCGACATTTCTCTGATTATCACTTTTTATTATTTTTTGTCTTGTTATTATTATTATTTTTAGTATTATTATAGTTATTTTTAACTTTTATTGATATTTCCCAGTTTGATTACTAGTTTGAAGTAAAATTTTCTTCGTTTAATAATAATCAACCACATGTACCATTACAATATAACCTTCAATGTTTTTTTCTTTTTAAAATTCTTAAAATTTGTAAAAAAAAATAATGATGGAAATAATGTATACTTACGTGGCGAGCATTTTATAGTTTGCAGGGCACATGTTATTTCATATAAAATACAATGACTTCTTTTTTGTCATTGTTACTGATATGATTTTCTTAACGTCATCATAAATGACGTCATCGTCATTATTTACTGTTTATATTTTTGTAGAAATAATTCCCTTTTATTTTTTACTAATTTTTCACTAATTGTACAAACTGCCGTAGAGTAATTTTCTAATCATCTTAATTGCAAAATAGTTATTTACGAGTGGATATAAAATTAAATATAGAGGCATGTTAAAATTATTGAAAATTCTACGTAAACAGTGGTAATAAACTGAAATTGAGAAAAACCGGGAATTAGCGAGAAAAAGAATAGGCCATCTACTACTTTTAAGACCTTTGGTTGAAAAGATCCTTTGTTTCCACCGCAAAATTCCGGATCCGCTATCATTGCTTATTTATTCTTCTTATCATTTATTAGTTCATCTTTTTGTGGGTTTTAAATATCATTCGACCAAGGGCCAATCAAATCACTCAAATTTTTGCCCCGAATTTGTCAAAAATGATAAATACTCTTTGAGGTCATGTCCGACAAATATTATTATTGTTATTTTCGTTATATTATTCAATATTTTAAAATAATTAAAATTAAACTTGTTTTATCAGATAATTCATGAAAATTAAGTTAAATGGCGATTTTAATAATTAGTAGGAATCTGTTTTGTCTTTAGAAAGTAATTTTCTTATAAATTCAACAATACAATTCAAGTATAAATAAAACAATTTAGCGTTATTCAATTTGAAACGTAATTTAGCGGCTGGATAGTTCATTAATGTGATTGGCTTGTGATGCGAATTTAGATATGATTATTATTTATATTTCTTCCGAAACTTGTTTCTTTTTTAAATTTTGAAATTGATTTTCATTGCACGCACACAACACAATGTATTAATGGCAGATTATCTAATTACAATTATTTAATTTTTTCAACTTTTTTTTAAATGATTAAGTTATTAATAATATTAATTAGCTATATTGTATTTTTATAGGCCTACAACTGTAAATCACAGACGATTCTGTTGTGTAATGTTATCTTATCTGTTCGAAGTATTTTCCTTTCCTCTCTTTCTTTCTCCCTCTCTCTCTCTCTCTCTCTCTCTCTCTCTCTCTCTCTCTCTCTCTCTCTCTCTCTCTCTCTCTCTCTCTTTCTTTCTCTTTAGTTACATGAAACTGGAATAAATGTAACTCAAATGTGTTTGTCATTAACTTTAATTGATGTTATTTGTTTCATAGATTTGTGTCAATTTTTTTCTATTCAATTGAATGCTTACATCCGTCTGATTCACTGTCATACACGCGCGCGTGTGTACTTGGTTAATTATATCTAATTAAACAACTGATGAAATGTTTTAATTTTTAGTGAAAAAAATTAAGTTTTGTTCAGGGGTGTAGGATTCGAATGCTGCTCGGCCAATCAATCAAGCTTAAAATTTTGATATTCATATTAATTTACACATATATTTATGCGTTTAAGTTTGTATAAAGTGGTCTATTTTCATTTATTTAATTAAATATATTTTTATTAATATCTTTTAGATTATATGTGTACAATTTGCATATAAATTCACCATAATCAGTCGGTTTGATTGTAAAAACACTGTAAACATTTCTTTGTCTCAATTTTCAAAATATATAACAAATAAAAAAAGATAAGCCATCAAAAATGTACTAAAAGGCGTCAACAGCGATAGAGGAAAAAATAAAAAAGCATTTGTCAAAGTTTCCTGATTGGAGATTTTACAGTGGCCTACTTTTAATTCTTACGTTAATAAAATAGCTGACATGAATTCGTTAGCTTAAGAGGCTTAGGTGAATTGCACCCAAATTTTTAATTTGCTCTTGTCTGATGTTACGCGGTTGTATCTTCATATTTCATCATAAGCTGCTGTATGAAATAACATGAAGTCCGTAGAACAAGCATGCATACATGTACTACATACAGACATGTATGCATATCACGGATATATATATAATATATATATATATTATATATCCATATATATAATATATATATATATATATATTATATATCCATGATGCATATGGTCGATCTGATAGGGTAATTAAAACACACGCGTAGTGTTTAAATTTATTATTGCTTTACATCTAAATAATTGCACTCAATTATAATAGATAAGTTAATAATTGAGGTTAGATTATAATTTTGTACAAAGATCATTAAGAAAGAAGATGTAATGTTTTTGTAGTTATGTAAATATTTGTATTTATCTGTCTTTGTCCTAAGACAGATAAATATTATTCACTTCATCTTCGTCCACATTCATTTCTAGGTCGGCTGTTTCGTTTTATCTGCTTGGTCCGGTTTCGTTTGGCTTGCTCCGTCAGTGGGTGGGGTGGTTTTTTAGTTATTTTAAGTTAAATTATCATTAAATTGTTTAATATTTAATCATTTTTATAAGAATAATTAAAAGTTCCTCTCCTGCTTCTTGTGGAGTTCAAAATAGATGTGCATCTTCTTCATTATTTTTTTTTTCATAACTTACTTTTTAAGTTTTAATTAAAGTGCGTTTCTAAATAATTTTCATAAATTTCATTTGGCTTCTTTCCGGTTTGTGCAGATTTTAATTTTCTAGCTTTATTATTTTGATAAAAATAGATTGATGCTCTGTCTTATAATAAATTCTTATATTTGTTTCATTGATTGTCTTTTTAATATTAATTTAAAAGTTTATAATTCAAAACTCTAATTTATTAAGTAAGTTTTATCAGATTATTAATATTAAGTAAAAATAAAATATTATTCAGATTTCATAGTTAGCTGATGGAATAACTTTTTTAATTTTGTTTTATTTTTTGTCTTTGTCTTTTATTTGAAATTTTTTGACTTTATTTTTATTGATTTTTTTATTATTTTATTGTTCATCTCATTGTTTGATTGTTTTTAATGTTGCTTCAATAGTTTATGAGTGTTTGTTTTTATATGTTATTGTTGTATTAATTGTGTAGTTTGTAGTAGGTAAAAGGCTTAGTTAATATTGTTTTCACTACTTGCCATGTATTATTCTATCTTTATAATTGTCTGGCATTCATAAAATAATTATAAATTTTTTCCATTCTTCTATATTTGTATAAACTAAAGTAGACAAAGTAATTTAATTGAGTGGTAAATTATTCTATTTTTTTATTTTTAAATAATACAATTTAAAATTTGATGTGCTTTTTTTATTTTCCTGATTACTTTTGTTTTATAGTTTTGTTCAACCATTAGAGACTGTAATTATATAAAACAGTGTAGTGATTATATTAAAAAGTTAAGGTAGATAGAACTTAAGTTTTTTTGAAATACATAGCTTAGAATTTTAGTTTTTGTAAATAATTTATTTTATTATTTTAAAAATATTGTTGTTAATTTGATGGCTCAACAAATGTATATATTTATATAAAAAGTATTGGCTTTGTTCAATTAATTACAATCTAAGTTGCTTTTAACGTGATATTTATGTTTATTTAATACTTTGTATTATAAATTTGAAATTACTTTTCTCCATAGGATACTATTGGACTCAAATTAAAAATGGAAATTGTGACAAAGGCCATTGACTATTATGACAGCATTAACTACTCAGGTTTAGAAATATTATTTTATTATTATTTTTCAAATTAAAGAGTTTTTTCTTCATTATCAACTAATAAATTAATTTTCTGAAATTATAAATTTTTTTAAATTTCAGACCCTGACCCCAGAACAAAGGATTGGTTGTTGTTGAGTGAATCCCCAAAGCAGGTGCATGTGTTGTCAGTGATGTACCTGGCATTCGTGCTGCTGGGTCCGATTATCATGCAGCATCGAGAGGCATTTCAGTTGAAGGGAATCATGATTGTTTACAATCTCTCTCTCGTCATGCTCTCCATTTACATGTTTGTTGAAGTAGGTTTGCTTCTGACATTGTATATGCTTTTTTTTTATTAAGTTATATAGATTTTTTATAACTATATTTTGTTGTAAAGTGTGAATCTTCTCTTGTTTCTGTCTGTTTCATTTCAATTGATTTATTTCAAAGTGAGATGTGAACATTATACTTTTACTATAAATCTATAAATACTGAACAATTGTGCTCATTAATATTCTTTTTAGTTGTTATTAATTTATTATGAATCAATTTTTGTATTTTTTTGATAGCTCACATATTTAGAGTTGATTTTTTTATGTAAGTTAAAAAGGTCTAGTTTCTAATGCTGATACATGTTTATTTAACTGTTCTGTCTGCATATGTGTGAATCCACACATGCATCAACTGAATTTTTTTCAACATATTTATTTATTTATTTATACAACTTTATTCATTCTTATATGTATCTGTTAATTCATCCATCCATTCATTTGTTGATCCGTCCATTCATTTATTTGTTAATTCATCCATCCATTCATTTGTTGATCCATCCATTCATTTGTTTATTCATCCATCCATTCATTTGTTGATCCATCCATTTACTTGTTAATTCATCCATCCATTTATTTGTTGATCCATCCATTTATTTGTTAATTCATCCATCTATGAAGATTGTGTCAAGTGCCCTTAGTTGTGATTATGGTGTTTCCTGTGCGGTTTACAACAAACAAACCATCAAAAACCCTAAAGAGATAAGAGTATCTGTCATTTATTATTTATTTTTCATTGGTTCATAATTCATTTTTTATTTTTATTTATTTTGGTCGTATTTATAAACAATCATTCAACATATTTTTTATTGATTAAAGCTTTTAATTTATTTAGAAAATATAATCGATTGAGTTTAGTGAAAAAATTATTTAAAATGTTGAATTTCCAATTTAAAAAGTTGGTTATTATTTTCCACAAGATGGCTAAGGTACTATGGTGGTACTTTTTCTCGAAAGCTATTGAACTTTTTGATACAGTGTTGATGATCTTACGTAAGAAAAATAATCAGGTGTGTTTATTCATTCATCCGAATATATTTGCTTAGGCTATTTTCTACCATGTTCTTAGATTAGTTTCTGCTCTTCAAACTTTTTTAACCTTTTTAATGAAACTTTTTTCAATGTTGTTTTCAGTACAAATTTTATTTAATTTTATCAAATTTTTTTTTCAAATTTTATCAAATTTTTTAGATTAAATATGATAATTTGATATTTTTGATGGCTTGCACAACTCTGCATTTTAAAATTTGGCTTTGAAAATCTTTTCTAAGTGTGATTGATGATGTAACTACATAATAAATTATATGATGAAATTTGTTGCTATAGGTGACATTTCTGCATGTGTTTCATCATGTTTCCATGCTAAACATCTGGTGGAGGGTAATGGTGTATATCCCTGGAGGATTGTGTATGTACAACTCATCACTATAGTTATCATTGTCATTCTAGCTTTGTTTCTATTACTCTATCTCTTGTCAATCTGTTAAGCAGTCATTTATTCCATTTTTTTACCGTTGTATCACAATTATATTATGTTTACTCAGTCATTGTGTTGCTTATGTTCAACAATATCTTTGGATGTGTTTGCGACTATCTGGTAATTCATCTTATTAGACTTTTCTCATTTGTGCATCACTTATTTTTTCATTATTTCTGCCTGATTGTGTTACAGGGATGTTTATGAAAAGTATATTGTAACAATGTTTTGCTCATTTTACTTCGGAGACATGATGAAATTAAACGACAAATAAATTTTCATCTGGCAGCCTACTTTGGAAGTGCACTGAACTGTGTGGTGCACGTCGTCATGTACACTTACTATGGTCTATCTGTTGTCCCTCAGCTCAGGGAACATCTCTGGTGGAAGAAATATCTCACCATGTTTCAACTGGTTAGTTTTCATCTATGGTTGCGTCTCTGTTTTTTCTTGTGCGTGTGTGTGTGTGTGGTGTGTGTGTATTTTCTTCATTCTCTCTACAGTGTTCTCCTGTATTGAGATTACATTGCAGTGTATTGAGTATTGATATATTTATTTATTTAAAGAACTGCCAGACCAGAAGTTATCACTAACTTGTATGGTCTCGGGTAAGTACACAAAACAATATAAATAAGCGTACATAGACAAAATATATATATGCACACATTTACATACGTTCACAGAGGATGCATAGCATACACCAAACTGAATGTAGAAAGGTGTATAGGAGAAAAAATAAAATGAAATAAATTAGCAGAGACGTCTTATGCAGTGAAAATGAGTGATGGAATACACATTATATTGATTGACTGTAGGAAGATAAGAGTAAAATACTGCATGTATATAACAGAAAAGTAGCAAACTGAAAACAAATGCAACAAACAATATAAAATTAAGTGGGAGATAACTCAATAGAAGCTATAAAAGCAGTAGGGATGATGAAGCGGAAATGATTAGAATGGAAATAATACATACATAGGTGTCCATAGAAATAAATAAAAAAAAGGAAAGGACATATGAATAACTATGTATACATATGCAGTGCATGCAGGCAAATAGAATTTAAATATAAATGATTGTTTTAGCAAATACATTTAGCTGAAATTTTGCCTGAGTAATAAAATTGTAGCAATGAATATATATATATATATATATATATATATATATATATATATATATATATTTGTATGTATGTATGTTACTGTTGACTTTTTTTTCTATTTGTAATATTTATATGTACACAAAAATGTGACTAATATAAATAACGATTTTATAATGGACTTTTGAATATATGATGGTTATGGCTATGTATGTATGTATATATCTATCTATGTATGTATGTGTGTAATCGCATGTTTGTTTGTGTTGGTGTGCGTGTGTGTGTGCGTGTGTGTCAGTGTGAATGGCGTTTTTCTGATGGACGTTTTATGAGAATAATGTTGTGACTGTTTTGATTGATCGTTTGGGAATGATTATTTTCAAGGATGAATGAATGATTGTCTGTGAATTTTGAATGAATGTATGAATGAATGAATATATGTGAGCCCTCAATGGTTCAATGTGCATGTGTCATTTAATTTTTGAGCTGTTGTAAGCGTTATTTATGTAGAGTTTAGAATTTTTAATTAGTGAACAATCATTCTTAAGAAATTTCAACTTTTGTCAGGATTTTTTTTTCTTTGATTTTTAAATTGCCACTATTTAAGTGTGGTGAAGTTCATTTTACAGGATGTCACAGATGTAAAAATGTTTGTTTTAGTTAAATCATTTTCATTGAATATTTAAAAACCAACTGATTTAAAGAAAAGGCATGTTGTTGTGTTTTTGGCATACACTGTAAAGTTGTTTCATTAAATATGTGCATTAACTGCAATATCTGTGTTTAGCATATCATCTGTTTAGTTTGGTTGATATTACTTATTGAACTTTGTGTCCCCCTGCTTTTTCAGATCAAATTAACTAATACATTTGAAATGTCATTAAGTCTTTTAAAAGGTATTATAAGTTGTATATGGTAATTGTTTGTGTGTCTGTGTGTGTGCGTGACTGTGTGTGTATGATAATGCAACTTCAATCATTATTTTTAACATTTAACATAACATATCAACTAAGTCTGAAATCACATGAAGTTGCCTCCGTTTTAAACCGCACACAAAAAACAACATTAAAGAGAAAACAAACACACACACACGCACACACACACACATGGCATCACTGCAGGTTCAGTTTGTGATCACCTTCGTGCACACGTGTGCGTCGTTGTACGTGCAATGTGATTTTCCGGTGTGGGGGCAGTGGCTTATGTTCTACTACATGATCATCATGCTCATCCTCTTTTCAAACTTCTACCTCCATGCTTACGTCATCAGGAAGGAGAAGAAAAAGATGCCCAAGATGAACGCTGAGGTGCTAGCTAATGGGGGAGATAATGGTGAACTACCAGCTCAAAACGGTGGACAGTTTGCTAATGGATATGACAGCAAGAAGAAAAAAAGTGCTTAAGTTGTGTTGTTGGTTTTGTTGTTGCCATTCTACACCAGGTTTAATGTTTGAATGCTTCTGGAGAATATTTATGAAAATAAATAAATATGTGTATATATATAATATATATATATTCTCAAATTTTTATAATTGCCAATTACATTTATATATTTATGTTTGGATCACATTTATTACAAATGCTTTGAATTTTTGTTATTGGTGAAACTTCTAGATGCATTGTTAGGTGTATCGCAATTAAATTTTTTTTTAACAAAATTTTAATTTATCGTTACTAAATTTCTGCTTCCCGTTACTACTCTCGTCATACTCATCGTCATCTTCATCATCACTATGGGATTATCATCTATGGCGTCATCGTCGTCGTCGTCGTCGTCATACTTATATTTTTTTTTTTTATTGAACGAAGTTGTTAACGCACCGGTACATATTTTACAGTAGCAATCTCGTCCTAGCAAATAACAACATTTTCTCTTATCCATTATTTAGCCTGAATGCCATTTTAAGTTTTATTTTCTGTGCGTGCGTACGTGTGTGTGCGTGTGTGTGTTTGTGATCAGTTTTTTTAGATCTTACTTACACGCGTTAACTTTTTCTCTTTTCATGATTGATGTTGTTATTGAATCGTCAATGACATATATCAGTATTATTATTTTTTAGTTGGTTGATATTTTTATTTTCTTTCAATAAACTTGTTTGCCTCTGGTCGTTTTTGTTTATATAATTGTTCCAAACTGTGAAGTTTTGTTTAGGAAAATTTTTAATTTCTATGAAACTCTTTATATAATAACTTATTTCGTTGTTAAATGACATCTCGTAATTTATATTAATTTATCCATCATAATGACGATACTGTCGTGTCTTATATGAAGTAATATGCTTTTTCTAGATCTTTTAGAAAAAATGTTTCAAGTACTGAAATTAATTTATTGCATGCTGGTTAATACTTATTTATATGCAAACTTTTTTTACATACAATAGGCGCTTACAAATACGCTAATAATAATAATGATAATAATAATAGCGATAAACACAAGCGGAATATTCGTAACATGTGTGCAAAGGGAATGTTATATTAACATTAACGCATTGCATGCTGTTATGTTTGCAAGATACTGGTTGGTTGGTTGGCTGGCTGGCTGGCTGGCTGGTTGGCTGGCTGGCTGGCACGTTGAATGGTTGGTTCTAAGAATGCTAGCGAGCTGTTTAGTATCTGCATCTGATGA